CCTTACCAAATAAGAAAGCGTTCAGAACGAATATCGTGTAACGCTAACGCTACGTCACGTAGTATTTAATGGGAGATAATTGGATTGAAATACAAAATCAAATTGTGGTTTAGGAACTTTGAATTTTTTTTGATTGACAGATATTCATTTTCTTTCCAGTCGTTCGTCGTAAGATTCTCAGTGGTTTGAACTTCGAAAGCTAGCCGGCGAGGCAGCAGAGAAGGTGCGGCCAAAGTTCCGGCCAAGAGGACCCTAAGTTCCTCATTCCCTCTGTGAGCATTTTCTCTCACAGCCTGGCTTCTGTGACAAACCTTCCACGACAATCTGAAACTCATCTTCCACCTTAACATCTGCTTGGAGATAAGGTAACCGTAACAAGGCAGTTTCATGTAACAACAGCGCTCTTTGCGATTTGTACCATCACTGCAGTTTATCACTTGGTTCAAAATGGCTGCGCTCTTACGATCGATCGGTGAAGTTGGTGCGTTTTATATCGACTATAACTCGACAAATTGGACAAAACACAACCAGATTGTCTTCCTTGAACGCACGTCTTGCATCAAAGTACTTGCAGGAAGCACAATTTCCTCGGTAAGTGTTCCTTTGTGTTTATTTTACCACATTGTTTTGCAGACGACCGGCCGTACAGTATGTGTTTTAATTTGGTCAAGGCCTCAAGGCGAACAGAACAAGATTGAATCAGCGTGTGTCTGAACGCAACAGAAGAAATTATTGGTGCTATCAGCAGCTCAAGACGACGTGGTAGAAAGGTTAACAGATTTTCTGTATTCTTCCTCAAATTATGATACGATGGTAACTTTAATTAATTTAGTTTGCATTTAATTTTTGCCAAATCACGTTTTATTTTTTGAGGGGACGTTTTTCAGAAAACTTCATTCCCAAACTTTAAAGACAAAATGTATTACAGAAAAAAGGTTAATATTAACAATACTAGTAAGTCTAATTTACAGTCAAACAACTTTCTGTTCCTTTGAAAGGTTCCTTTGAAGTGCTAAGGCCATATTGAACAATTGAAAATATTTTGTTAATTCCCTTGCTTGATTTGTTTCGTTACTGTTAGTGATGTAATTAATCTGTCATCAGATTTGGATCTAGGTTTTTTGTAATCTTTTTTTGCTGCCTTTTTTGGGGTTAACATTCTGGCGAGGCAATCACTGAATCATTGAAACAAAAGACTATACACATCTGCTTGGAGGTTAATCCATGTTGGTTCCATTAGGCCACACCAATTTAATTTCTTGGTTAACGGATGTTGCTACAAAAATGATGGAGCGGGCGGGCAAAAATAAAAATAAAAACAGGCCTAGGCATCCTATTATGGCCCAAAATGGTATGATAAGAGTCATGAAGTCAACACACCTGGCTGTTTCAAAGTTTAAACAATGAATGAACTTTTGATGATATCACTGCATTGAAAGATGGAATAACTGTAACAGCTAGGAAGAATAAGGACTTTCTTCAACTGTTCAGGGCAAAATATGAGAATTTTGCAGTTGATCTAATTAATTATAAATTTTATTTTATTTGCAAATCAGAAAAAAATGAAGGGGGTGAATCCGTTAACCAAGAAATTAAATTGGTGTGGCCTTACCCGTGTACAGGCCAGGTCACGTCCAAGCAGGCTCTGATGCTGCTCCGTAGCTGTACCATGCTGTACCATGCTGTCCGAGGAGACCAGGAACAGCAAACTGGCTCTCATGGACCAGATGTGGAACAAGAGAGGGGTATATTCTTGTCTTCTGAACATCTACACATGTACACCTAACCACATTAGTGTATATATTATGGTCAAACCCCTGCTAGGGACTGCTTAGCTATAGGTCTTTGTGGCCTATTTTTGGCGGTCCTTTGAGTTTGAAATTGACCGAAAATTAGAATACTTCAGTCTATAGTAGCCACCTGTCTATAATATATTATATGGTGACCATTTTTGTGCAAGCCACCTTGGGTGGTCACTATAGACAGGTTTGATTGCAAATGTGAATGGTTCTTGAAATTCTACCGGTACTGTACTGGCTATTTAGTAGTTTTGACTCGAAGTATGCAAAATTTTTTTGTTTTGGTCCCTTTTTGGATGTACATATGAAATTTTGCTTACACAGTATGGTTCTGACAAATGCATACACCCAAACATTCTAAAAACATTAGGAGTTGGTAATACATGCTGCAGATTTTACCCTCAGAAGTTGGAAGGAAACAAAGTTCTTATGTCTTGCCACCCTTTTTCCAGGTGCCAAGTATGATGTGGGTCACTACAATGTCCAGCTGAAAGTCTACCTGGACAGTGAACACAAGTTTTCTGGCCAACATGGAAGCAAAGGACATACAGCCTAACAGAGTAGGTGTCAGTTATTATGGTTATTCTCTTTTAAATGTTGGAAGGGGGATGGATAGGAAAATGTCATCACTGGCCATTCCCATTTTTGTCTAGTTTGAGCTAAAACCGAAACAAAAAATTCTATACACCCCTCTTCAACTTCTACAATGGCACATCCTAAATTCTTGTTATAACAAGAGTCAAATCAAATCAAATCAAACTTTATTGCACGACAATTGTAGCAGGTACAATGTATGGCAACTTATAACAACAATTGTAGCAGGTACAATGTATGGCAACTTATAACAAGAGTAAGGGTCAAGATTCTGACTGGTAAAAAAAAAACATACCTGTATTCTATTCCCAACATTCAATATAAAAAAACACATTATGCGGACCTTTTTTTTACATACACCATGCCATAACATAATTATGGCGATTACATAATTAAATTTTTTGTTCCTGCTAGTATATGTTGTTTTTAAAGATTTGTGTATTAAAAACTGTAGAGCTGCCCAATAAAAAGTTGAAGTTGACATCTGAGTTTCGTGGCCTTCTCCCCCCTCTCCTGCCCCGGGATGCCCCTCTACGGTATGGGCACTTCTGCGAGTGCCCATGTGCATTACACGAGTAACATTCACCTCTAAACACAGTAGAGAACCCTGCCTGGGCCGGAGGAAACCATTGGGGCGGAGGGGGAGGTGGTGGCCATACAGGCTGAGTGTGATATCCCGATTGTTTAACGACTTTAGCAAACTTCAATCCTATCCTATCATCCACATCCGAACCTAAGGCCCTACGTAAGGACCATCTCCCCCAACATACTATTTCTTTCGTGGAGTGTAGCGTGCCTAAGTGTCGTCGCATACGTTGGGTAATCCGGATGACCGGCCGCCCTAGCTTTTTCCTCTAGCCTCCTTAGAGCCGGGATGAGTAAGGCATGGTTGAGGTGAGACGGAGCTTTAGCCAAATCCAGAACTTGTTCCAGTGACTCCCTCACCCCTTCCGTTCGATGGGCTTTTTCCAGCGCTTGCAATCTCTGCATCAAGGAGAATAAAAAAATTTCCATTAATACCCAAAGTCAATACCCTAGTCTCCGTTCCACTGTAAGATTGCCATATTATATATCGTACCTAAGAGGTACTTCACCTTCCTTGGAGGTTAATATTTCAATGCCTGATGAAACTGACCCCTGTTAGTCTGCCACATACAATTACCTTCACATTGCCAACTTCTATCTTCACCTTCTTTTACTCCATGCTTGTTTCATTATACCGGATTCCCCGTCCTGAATTACAACTTCCGTGGCCTAACTTCTTTCTTTCCAGGTCTGTTTCCTGTCATACTGGACTCCCAGTCCAACTTCACAAAATTTCCGTGGCCTAATTCCTTCCTTTATACATCATCCATGCTCCTTATAAGATTGGACTCCATTACATGTCCTATTTTTTCAATCCTTAATATGTTAATCCGGCCACATTCCTTCCGTCCTTATTATGTTAATCTGGTTAACATTCCAACCTAACATGTCGGGGCAAACATTGATAAAGAAGAAAACAAATAGAAGCTACACATCAATCCTCACAGATAGAATGATCCTACCTAGATGAAAAAATCCCTCACCTGCTGCCAATTGTTTCCTTGGGCCTGAGGGGCAGCGGCTTGGCCCTGGAGCAGTGCGGCCTGCAGTGTCGCCGCCTGGGCTTGGACTGGTACAGCCTGCGGTGCCGCCACCTGGGCCTGGACTGGTACAGCCTGCGGTGCCGCCACCTGGGCCTGGACTGGTACAGCCTGCGGTGCCGCCACCTGGGGCTGGACTGGTACAGCCTGCGGTGCCTCCGTTCATAAGCTCATTACTATACACCACCTGTCTATTTCACCTGCCTTAGGTTAATCTATTTGCGCTCCCTCACATTCCGCGAGGGATTACTTGATTAAGATACGGCGGTAAGGCAGTATCCATTGGCCAGGGGAGTGTCCGGCTAATGGATAGTCCTCTGGCTAATGGGTATTGCCTTGCCACTGTATGATCTGCTTGGAGATTACAACGCCCCCATTTCATAAATAGCCTCATCTGGTATTTCCCATGATCCTCTGCGGCAGGTTTTGGCGTCTGCTGCAGGGACAACGTAAACATACCGGGGGGTTTCCAAGGACACACATTGAGGTAAATGGTTGTGAATATGTTCTGTTTGAAATTTTTCTTTTTATCCTGTGACAGAGACTAGACGTGCCCAGCCTGTGCCGTGCTGCGCAGACATGTTCCTCCTGGAGTGACTTCATCAGCGACACTGATTGGCTGTGGAAGAAGGTGTGTCAGAACTGCCAGGACATTGACCCCAAACTGGTGGAGATGGACCCTGCAGAGTGACTACCATGGAGGGTAAAGGACACAGAACCATATTTTGGAGTGTATTCAAAATATATGCAGTAGGAGTAGGGGTAGAAGCAAAGTTAGGCCACACTGACTCAATTTTATGGATGACATCCGTGCGCGCATTGATTTTCGTCTGTCCTAATAAAAAAAAAAAAAGATCAAGTCATCTGAGGCTCTGGCCTGGATACTATAGTAGTCTATGGTAGCTTGCTATATAGCGACAGTACGTAGTCGGTGGTAACTCTGGAGGACGGCACCCAGGCTACCAAAGCTCCACGACTCAAGATCTCAGTATGAATAGTGTTGATCCATAAATCCGCAATCTCAAATTGGAATTGCCACTTGCTAAGTTGAATATCAGGAAAAAATTCTTCAGTGTCAGAGTGATCCAGGAATGGAACAAGTTACCACCGGAGACGGTGAATCAGACGTCAGTAAACAGATTCAAGAGTAGCATCGACGAATACATACGGAAGAAGATGACCATAGGAGCTACTAAGGGCTACCCGCCTTCTGGCTCCTGATTTGCAGAGACGTAGTCTCTGCAATTCAGGTAAATTCAGGTAAAAAGCCAGCATGTGCCGGCCTGTCGTATATGTTGCTATGTTCTGCCACAAATTCACAATACCAGCTTTGTCTTTGTATTCCTGTGGTTTAGTAGCCTTTTTATTTTTGGCCGGATTTTTATTTTATTTGCCCGCGCGCACTAGTTTGGGGGTCTTCAGAGGGGTGGTAAGTCTTACGAAGACGAAGGTCAAGGTCAAATATGGGCCTCCTGGTGGATGACTTTGGTACTGCAGCAGAACTTTTTGTATCTTTTGTCCTGAACATGCTATGGTCTTGAACTTTTGGTGACAGATAGCTTTTCCTGTCAGGAATAAGTGGTGTGGGTTTGGTCCCCCTAGCAGCTTGTTCTGGAACTACAGGGGACCTTCAGGCGAAATCTTTGAAAGCCAATAAGTCCAGATAGGAACAACGCATTTTCATCATTTTTGGTGTGTAGGTAGCTGAGAGAGAGATGTACATATTAATGCAAATTATGCAAATGAGGACTTTATTTGCATAACTAATGAGGAAATTCTATAATTACAGTGTTTTACATTATAGTACTTTCATACATGTAATGTATGTAACCTATGGCAGATGAAACATCAACAGATACTAATTATGCAAATGATGACCTAATTTGCATAATTAATGCGAAAACTCTGATTTCTTAATGGTGAATGATGGGAATGTCATACTTGGGACATCTATATATAAGTGTAAGTTAATCAAAAGTTAACATCACTATACATATATTATGTTAATGAAGAGGTCTGTTTCATTCCAAAACGTGTTATTCCAAATCATGATTTGGAATGGACCACGTTTTGGAATGCAGCAGGCATTCCACTTATTGTATTCCAAATCATGGCGCAGATGGACCACGATTTGGAATGTTCCAAAACTCGACCGGCCATGCTGTCAATCACGAATAATCGACAGGAATGGTGGTTAATTATTCAATCCGAAGTTTCCATATTTGGTCCGTTGGCTGCCTGTATACAGATACTGTGTTAAATCACGTCGTGTTTACTTGTCTGAACATGTCGTCGAACTTAACCTGCCAAAAGTATATTAGTACGTCCGATGGGGAAATTGACGTCCATGAACAGTCAGTACGATAATGTCCTTGGTATGATGTTCCATAGCCTGGTTCTGGTCTGAGTTTATCTCCATCAGTGTGCGGTCCTAAATGGTCGGACGCTCGCGCATCCGTTTCTCATTATTTTCCCTCTAATAGAATCACGTGATAGTTGTTTATACCCAGAAGAGAGAACGTAATTTATAGCAAGGAGCTTTCATTTCTAGTTAAAACTTTTCTTATTAAAGTGAAGTTTGTAAATATTTAGCATTACTTTGTGTCATTAAATTACACAAATAAGCCTAATTTTGTAAGAATGTGGTCTCCACGGCCCATATGGGATATCTAGCCACGATATGGAATATTCCGAAACGTGCTCCAGACATGTTTTGGAATATTCCATTTCATGTCCTTTGTCTAGGCACGTTATGGAATATTCCGAAACATGTTTCAGACAAAGACACGAAATGGAATATTCCAAAACGTGCTTCAGACATGTGGGCTTGGGAAAGGGTTTCGACAACAACAGTGTGGAATTGCTACTGTTATGTTTAAACATATGACGAAATTTTAGATTGTGACAGGGATGGTCGCCACACTTTGTGTGTGAGCTTTACCATGGTTCTGCCATGTAATGGGTGTCGGGCCTTCCCTTACTAACACTGAGGAGGTTTAGATGGTCAAAATATACAAAGTCAGACAGCATGGGCAATGCTAAAAGCAAAAAGCTACCAGTTTGAAACGTAGGAAAATATTTATTGATATTCGATAAGTGTATTCGATAAGTGACACAGGTATTCTAAAACGCTCCCATTTCATCATTAAACTTGACACGTCTCAGACTGTAGCCAAACATGTCCAGACACGTATCCGTTTAGCCACGCCCTCAGAAGTACAAGGCTCCGCCCCCAGACACGTGATTACGAGAAATCATGTTTTGGAATGAATCACATTTTGGAATGCAACAGGCATTCCACTTCGTGTTATTCCAAATCATGTTTTGGAATGGACCACGTTTTGGAATGCAGGTGCATTCCACTTCGTTTTATTCCAAATCATGATTTGGAATAGAACACGTTTTGGAATGCAACAAGGTCATTGCATAATTAAAGAAGAAATTTACATTTACATATCAAGCCCATATTTCATGGAGGTATGAGATCTCGGAACTCTTGTATATGTCTGTTACCTTCACATAAAATTGGATTTCATCCTGAAATACAAACATCTTGTCCATACATTGTTGTCAGAAGGAAAAAATCATATCAATCACCCTTGAGTTTGATATTCAATGCACAAGCCCCTTGAAATATTTCTGTTGTTATGAATTGGTAAGTTCTGAAAGGTCAAATTTCTTCCATTGGTAAATGATGAGTGTACATTCCCATTTTCCAAACCACTTAGTAGTAAATCAGGTGTATGAATATATGATTCAGCTATTGGAATATCAGCTATCATACATTACCTATTTATTCTGTCAGCATGTCACATGTGGGACCTGCTCATTAGTGTTTATCACAATTTTTTTTCCTTGGCAGTTTATATCTATACTGTACATATGTATACATGTATATATTATATGATCATTTTATTGACATGGATTTTGTTTAATTTGTTGTGTTATATCTATTAGGCCCAACAGTACACATCATGAGTCTTGATGACTTAGCCCCAGCAGTGGACATCGCACCGAAACCATAGCCACGGACTACGAAAACAAAACCGTCATACGATAAATCTGAGCCAAATCTGACTCCAGGCTTAGATCAAACATTATACACTGTTGATGAACTGTTAGAAGATGACGCCTCAGTAAAGCAGAAAGCAAGCGACAAGAGCTTTTCTGAGGAAACAGTTACAGAGTCAATCTCAGAGAACATTGGTGCACATCTGAATCTTCACACAGTAGATGAACTACTAGGACACAGCGTATCAGACAAAAGTGACAAATCGGAGAGCACGCAAAGCCGACCCAAACTACACACTGTTGACGAGCTGCTTATGTCAACTTCAGAAAAGGGAGAGCAAAAAGGAGACACAGAAAGCTATGAGGACGACTTTGACACTGAGGTGCCGACAGAGTCTATATCAGAGTTGGCAGCAAACATGAGGCTGAGGTACTCGCAGATGACACGTATTCAGAAAACTTTGAAGAGGGGAGTGGGACCGAATCATCAAAGACATTCTCTGAACAGTCACAGAAACACCGAGTAAGTCTGTAAAGTCTGAGAAATCTCACACAGACATTTCAAGGAGTGACGGGAGTAGAAGAAGCTGAGATCTTCTAGGAAGACAGACAGTGAAGACTCCTGCAGTGAATCCACCAGAAGTAGAACTCTAACAAAAAGCTATGATAGTTGGACAAGCCATACCAAAAGTCGAACACCTCCCAGAAAGGCTGTTAAGGCTTCAGATGTCGGTGTTCAAACATAAGTACAGGACCAGTTGGGACTGGCACATCAGTGGACAGCAGGTATGGATTTGGGACTTGTTAACAGGCTTCTTCATATCATTCTTACACCTAGCAATCTTAACATCTCTCATCAGTACTCATCAAACATGCTGAGATGTTAGTTCAAGAAAAAGATGCTAAAAAATTTCTTCAACAGTTCATCATCACTGAAACTTTTGTAGGTGAATGCTCAAAGCAATCTGTAATGCAAATGGTGTTCCTTATTATCCACAAACATTGCATGCCTCCAATCTTAAATCCTACATGATTGTATGCTACTGTACATACAAATCATGTAATTGTTTTTATCTCTGACCACAGAGTCTGGTTATGCAGTCCTGGGCCCACAGTATAGTGCTGAGTACACAGACCCCACACCAGTAGCCACACATGTTGTCAACCCTGATGCTTTAGAAGGTAAGGAAGTATTTTTCTTCCCATTATATTTTCAAACATCGAGCTAAAATGTTTTGTTTAACAAGCCTACCTTTTAAGCAAATTTTCAGGATAGTAGGAGTCAAAAATTTTATTTTCTTTCTCATCTGGAATAGAAAACTGTTACACTTAAATAGAAGTAAAAAAAAAATCAGTCTCAAAACTAGAGTTCCACGATCTCATACCTTCGCCAAATGATGTTAGCTTTTATGATTAAGAAATTATAAATTAATCCCCCTAATTATGCAAATAGGATCCTCAACTGCATGAATTATATCTGTTGATCACATTCTCAACCAAAAGACAGTCTTATCTTAACAAAGAATGCCATGATGAAATTTTCTCATAAATTATGCAAATGAGGTCCTTATTTGAATAAGTTATGTTTAATTATGTTCACCTTAACTTAACTTTCAAACACCCCTAGTATAAAATTCCAGGCAGTTACCACTATGCAATTATAATATTTTCTCATTAATTATGCAAATTAAGTCTTCATTTGCATAATCGATTTCTGCCTGTGTTTCGCTCATTCTTAATAACATATGTCACAAGCTTGAACTTCCTATTATGGAATGCAGCTGATAAATAGAATTTCCTCATTAATTATGCAAATTACATCCATATTTGCATAATTGTAATATCATTATGTCAAGCATCACTCAAGCTACCTACATACCAAAAATCATGATGATCCATCAACCGGTTCTTGAGTTATCCTCCTTTAAACATTTGTCCATTAAACCCCCCTGCAGTTCTAGAGCAAGCCACTAGGGGGCCCAAACTCATGTCACTTCTTCCCCAGCACAAGAGCTACCTACCATCTAAATTTCGTCACCCCAGCATGTCTGGATCATGAGATATCAAAACCGGAAGTTCAGCTGCAGTACCATGACAAGCCGCCAGGTGGCCCAAAATCTAATCAGTTCGAGCTCTCATCAAGACCTACCCACCTACCAAGTATCAAGATAATCCATATAAGCTTTCTCAAGTTATGCTGTTGACAGACACACACACACACACACACGGCCACGAAAACATAACCTTCTCCAATTCTTGGCGAAGGTAACTAGAAAGCAACAACCCTGACTGTAATGGATTTTCTTTTCATGTATATTGAGGTGCTGTTGTTCTGTCACAAGAGAAAGGAAATTAGCTCTGCAATGTGCAAGAAGATATGTTGTGTTCCTTCTTCACTATTACATCAATGTCAAAAGCAAATCTTTTTCATGAACTGCAAAGCACTAGAAATACCTTGACTATGTACTGTATCTCCTGCCCCAGCCATGACCAGCTACAGTCCCAGTGTCCTGGCGCTGAATGACTTACTGCGGCAGTAGCTGCAGCTAACGCAGCAGTTTGTAACCAACACCCGCAGACTGCACGAGTTCTACAGCAACTCCCTACAGGCTGACCACAGCTAACGCAGCAGTTTGTAACCAACACCCGCAGACTGCACGAGTTCTACATCAACTCCCTACAGGCCGACCACAGCTACACCACTCTGCAGGACACACTACAGGTACGTACGGCCAGCCTCAAACACCCCTGCTTTGGAGTGGTATCTTCTCTATGTTATCTGTTCCACCCTATGAGCTTTACATTAGATTCATTTTTATTGCAAAGTTGGAAAATCAGCTTTACCTGTTATGCTTCACTGCGGCTACTTTCTTCAATCTGCTGTAATGAAACTTTCATTACAGCAGATTGATATATTTAGTTCAAATTAGAGAAAGAGAAAATATACTGAAATGATAGTCCCTTTGCTTGTCCCAAACTTGACAATATTGTTCTTTCAATTTCTATAAACCCCACCAAAACTTTATAGCCCATAATATCCTGTAGCCTTTTGCATGTCCCTAGAAACTAGAGCAAAAGAAATGTTAGGTTTCTGAGACGATGCTGTCTTAGACCTAAACCTTTGATACGAGAAAACCACTTGTATCATCAGTATGTGACAGTGTTGACTTTATTGAGATTGCAGCAAGACAATTACAATGTTGGGACTAGGCAGCTACTAGCTGATAGTGTTAATTGTTACATCAGTCTGTGTTGTTGTTACACTGGTTGTACGTATGTGATGATATCTATTTGTTTCCTCACAGTTTATCCAGGAGCATCAACGCCCTGTTCTGACCATGGAGGAGGCTCTACAACAAGTACAGAACAGCACAGATGGCAGATGACACATCCACACAGCTCTGGACTTAGAAGTATACAAAATTTTGAAGCCACAGAGAGTGTACAAGTGGCAGGCCTAGGGAAGGCTTTCTTTGAAATCAACAGAAATGATGTTGCTGTTATCGTTAGTATATGTGATATGTCACTCAATGTGCCAATTGTAGGAGAAATCAGGAGGAAAACTAAATAAAAGAATGATGGAGGAGATGAGAAATATTACTGACTCCTGTTGTTTTGAGTGTCAGATGGCTCCCTACAGTGTGATAGACAGAACAAGCCAAGAGGAGGCAATAGGCATATTAGCTATGCCTGCATCACGCTTGGCAGTGGCGGCATGGTTGTGGAAGAATACAGGGTGTATCACAGCAACGTAAGAGTTAACAGATAGCAGCGATAGGGCGGAAGCAGACATCATTTGACTGTACATCAGAAAAGTTAAAACATTCATCAACTTGTGCAGCCTCATGAATTCTACTTGATCTACCGTTGGATACAGAAGTCCACTGCCTCCTACCAAGTCAGAAACGGCGAGGTTTGCCATGTAGTAGTACAGCGGCTTGTGGAGTTGTGTTGTTCTAACGATTTCCAAGATCACGGCGGCATTGCAGGTGACGATGAGAAGCCCCAACAGCCAAGAGATTACGGCGGTCGCTGTTCCCAACTCCTCAGTGTTCTCGTACATGGAGCAGGCTTCTTGGGCGGCTGCGTAGCCCTGGAACACCGTCTTGTTCTGTAGGTGCCACATGAGGCAAGAGGTTTGTCCATCGAATTTCTCAAATTGTGGCGTGTTTCCAGGAGCGAACGGAGGGGCAGAGCTGTTGTTCCATAAGGTGGTGCTGATTCTGTTGTGCTGCGGCACCAGTGATGACTCCTTTCCCGCCATTTTGGAAAATTTTGCCCCTCAATATCTCACGCCACACCGCGGTGGTCCGCTATGCTTCCACTCCTGTGTCTAAAGACAAACCGTTTCGAAGGGTTTTGGAGTGGTATACCGTTTCTAGTCTAAAGTGGGCCTTGTACTGACAGCGAACGGTGTTTCAGATGAGGAGGCAAGAAGCAGAATGACTGTACACAATGTGTTATTGCTTGGCACTGATGTTAATCTAAGGCCGCAGCAAGTAAATTTTACGGATGACATCCTCCTCAGATCAAATCTAATGCGATAGAGCGAAAAGGGTGTTATATGAGCATACCAAGCCTTCGGCCTCCCTTGCGCAGTTACTGAGTATATCATGTTTATATAACGTTGTATGTGTGAATAAGATAAGATAAAATAAGAATGAAATATGGTACATGTACATGTTATTTTTTAATTCTTATTCGCCTTTTCTAACATCTATTGCCCTTGACAAGGCAGACATTATATCGGACGCACCTGGCAGAATTTCCTGCACTCTAGATCTGGCTTAATTCGGGTAAATCTCGCTTTTGTTCGAGCAGTAACACCGGTGTCTGTAAATGGAAGTGGGACTTACCAAAAGATAGAATTTGACTATACTGTCGCCACGTACATGTGTAACACCCGGGATATATCGTGATGGGTAACCCCCACTACGCACGCTACGTTCAAATAATGCAAGACACAAGAGGAGCGAAACGTATATACTTGAATGGTAAACATCTAAAAACGAATTCGGACATCTCATACCTCCATGAAATATTCTAAAAGAGATTTTAGAAATAAATATGTTTAACGAAGGAATTCGAAAATATTGTTTATGCTACATTTCCTCTTCTTCTGCTTCTTCTTCTTCCGTTTCTTCCATGGCACCTCTGACCTGGCCAATGGCCTGATTTGTTGACGCCTGTCACCATGGTAACTGGTGTCGGGTTACACGATGTTGCAATTTTATCAGTAGGAGGGATTTATACTCCTGTCTGACCATATACATGAATGTATTTGAGTAAGAATTAACCGAGCAGACCATACGCTAAGGTAGAAATTATGCATTTGCTGTGCAAAATATGTCACTGCCCTCCTTCATGGAGTGTTGAATAAATAGATAAAACGATCATTGACAAACGTAGGACAATAAGTATAGAATCTCCTCCTGAATGACTTCATCCGCAGGATGGGTTGTGTCCTTCGGAAACTGGCAATCTGTCATTTCCCAGGTGTCCACAAAAACAACCGGCAGCCCTGAGAACATCTCTTTTATGATGAGGTACATCTGGAAGGAAAACCAGTCGTCGACGTTCAGAATGTGCGAGGCGGCTGTGTTGGTTGGTTTGATGACCAGGGTGGTGTTCTGTTGTCTGCGGAGAAGTCGCAAGAGGGCGCTTCGAACGGTACGAACCCGCCTGACGTAATCAACCAGTGGATGGCTGTTGAAATGGAAGCCCACAGTAACGACTACGATGTGATTAGGTTCGTCGATTTCATCAATAATACGGACCAAGTTGCTCAGTATGCTAGCGTTGACCCAAAGAAATGTATTTATCGGCGGGCCATGGGACTGATATCGTGAAGTAATATTCCACTGTTTCTCCTCTGCGTAGATGGGTCCGGCAGTAGCCGATAGGAAGTAAGGGCTATTTCTGACTGCCATCTGCATGTATTTTGCCGTGTAGTAAAACCACTGTCGAGTGGTCGAATCCCCGAGGAAATCCAGCGCTGAATTCTGTAGACATTTCTTCCAGTCAGAGGCATTTGTTAATCGTGGTCCCTGGCAAACACGGGATACCCATCGGCCATTGCGGTAGTACCCAGAAGGCACCGGGGCAGGAAGACCCGGCATGCACCTCGGTAGTTGCTCAGTCCGGTCGCCATCTTGGTGTCCCACCAAAATTGTAGATATCGTACCTTTTTTCACTTTTATGATAGAATTGATAGCCGTAAGGTCACGCCTGGAAAAAGTACGTAAATACCAATTACTAGTAACTATTTAGCAGTTCTTAATCTTGTGAATAAGCTGGACTTAGATGTGATATAATAAAAGAATTTCTATTTAACCTTGTTTGAGTCTAAACTTTGCCCTTGTAAATTTCTCTTAGGTTGTGTCACATGAATTTCGTGTCAACGTTTACTAGTACTGCATGCCAATAGAGACTATCAGTGCTGGTATGACTGTCAGGGCAGAGATCTTATCTAGCAAAATCCCCGATTCTACCAGTACTGCAGTAGATTGCAATTGGAGTCTCTGTCGCACAGAGATAACACTATCAGGATCAGGATCAGTACAATCGTTGATTCTACCAGTAATGATCATGACTAAAGATCCCGATTCAGTGCATGTAACTAAATGGTT